CCAAATCTCTCTCGATTCCCCACAAATAAAATGCACATGAACTGTGCCCTCTAAAGATACAGTCCTTTACACAGCATTGCATATCCTCTGAAACACACCTAATGCTCAAGTGCAGTAGAAGACACAAAACATATAAGCATGCTTCGGTAGACACAGACGTCACACAGAACATGTCACCTCTAAATGCAGCCTCACAGCCTCACCTGCTTCTTTCCAATATGTTCTTCCAAGCTTCAAGTCCTTAACATTGATTATTTTTGGAGGCAATATGCAATTTTCAGAGTCCTGGCTGCATTCATTTGCCTCATTGTTTTTTCCTTATTGGTTGATTTATTCATGTATTTATTAATGTATTTATTTATTCATTCATGTGTTTATTCCCCACCATGTTCCAAGATGGATGTAAGGTGGCTTACAAGAATACACAAAATACAACATGATAGCATAAATTCAAAGCAGATATAAAAGTAAAAGGAAAAAACAAAAACAATAAAAATAGGAACATGAAATGGAGCCTGGCAGAAAGCTAATACAAAGTGCATACATACCGTAGAGTCCCATTACAAGTGCTATGCATTTACCACACATTTGGCTCCAAGCTTTCTAGCAGCCAACAAAAGAGAAACCTGATCAGTCCCAGATTTCACAGGGCCCATAAAATAAAATCAATGTATATGGTTAGGATGTCTCTTTCCTGGTCTAAATCCTGAAAACTTTTCTACAGTAAAGTATCATAAAATGGTGGCAAACTGTCCCTCCTAAATTGCTCTAACACCAAAATTCAGCTTCTGGAACAGTCACCAACAAAATAAATCCTCAATCTTAAAATTACATCTACTATTTCTTTTTTTTCCTTCTACCTGTCTCTTGAAGTTCCATTTAGTCAATGAAATGTAGCTATTAAAAGGACTTCTTCAAAAACAAGCAAACAAACAAACAACAAAAAATCCTCTGCTGTCACCAAAGCAAATATTTTCAGTTAGGTAATGAAATAGACATCCTGAAATTACAATGGCCAAATTTGGAAAAACCCTCAAATATCCAACAAAAGAAAATGGTTAACTAAACCATCATGTCATCCTATAATGAAACATTATACACCATTGAAAATGATATTTACAAATACTTCACATAAATGTAGGAAAATATTCATGATAAAAATGCTAAGTATCAAAGCAACAAAACTATATGCATTATGACTTTTTCTATGTAAAAATTATATATGTGCATACATAGCCATAGAAAAAGTCTGGAAATAAATCCATCAAAATATTAACATTGCTTCTAGGATTTGTGATTATGGGTGATTTTATTTTTTTCTATATGCTTATCGTTATTTTCCAAGTTTTTGACATTGATGAACAATTTATGATGAGACCAAGAGGTACTAAAAAGAAAAATAGCAACTTAGTTACCTCTGGCTTGTAAAATTATAGGCACATTTAATTTTCTTTTTAAAATTTTCTATAATTGACATAAAAAATGGGAGGAAGTTACTTTTAAAAAATAAAAGATTTCAAAAACCTAGTTTTCTCAGTTGTTCATCGATAAGGTCCAAAATGCTACAAATACAATGATATTATGGTTATTCAGCACTTACTAATTTTACTTTTAATAGCCATCTGGTACTTATAATTATATTCAATTATCACTAATATTGTGATATTTGTGCCAGGTATTACTATCCTCACTTAACAGGTGATGAAACTGAGGCTCAGAGAAACCAAGTGACTGGCCCAATGTCACAATAATCAGTGGCAGAGCTAAACATGAACCCAGGTCTCAAGAACCCAGGTCCAGTGCTCCTTCCATTAGTTCAAGACTGACTGTGATTAAGCAGTTACCAAGAGATAGGAACACAGAAATAGTAATCCCTCTTTCCCCATGAGAGTCAGGTTCCTGAACAACCCCCAAGGTAAGAGAGTTCAGCTGAGGAGATCATGATATCGGGAAGGAAAAAAATGGGCAAAAATGAGGTCTCAAGTAAACTGTTGAAAACCCTCATATTTTTATGCAGGCAAACAATAACAACAGCACATTACATAAAAAGAATAATGAGTTTACACAGTTTAAATCAGTAAAAATGATAGGCTTTATACAGTTTCCATTTAGATCCTGAGATGATTTCCAGTGGTGATGAGGATGTATCTATCACTCATTATGGTAGTGGCAAATGGGGGTGACAGAGAAGCAATGAACAGAAGTGGACTATTCATTTAGTTCAAATTATGGATATCTATACTCTTAGAGTCAGTGAAGTCGAATCCTGAAGTTATAACAACTTGCTTGAGGCTTTATTTCTATCAAGCAAGTGAATTTAAGTGGCCCTTCTAAAGATGCTTTTGTCTTCTCAAGTCCTTTTTGAAGACACCTTAGCAGTTCTGTATGGAGCTCAATTTAATCATTCAATCTTTGTCTGAAGGCAGCTTATTAGCTGTCCAGTAAGAGTATTTAAATGGTACTACTTGATAATTTAGGCTTTTCTGAGGTTTCTTTCTTCCCAATGTAGTCTTTTCAAAAGTCTCATAGGACCTTTTAATAGAGTCTAATTAAATCAAACTTTGTCTGAAGGTAGTTTTTTCAGCTGTCCAGCAACAGTATTGAATGGCACATGATTTAAGTTCTATTGAAGATTGTTTCTGTCCAATATGATTATGTTTGAAGGCATCATAGCACCTCTTTATAGAATTGTAAGTCACTCAAGCTTTGAACAGGTAATATTTGACACATGTAAAGATGTCCATTTTAATTACCTTCTTAGGGAGGTTTTAATATTGTTCTAAAAATTTTGTTCCTGTTTCTTATAGCTGTATTTGTTTCCAGTCTCACAGCCTCCTAATTGTCTTCATCATCACTTATGATAATAATCTCTGGAGTTAACAAAGCTTCCTGAGGATCAGCCTCTAGCAGCATTAACTTGAATTAGTGTCAACAGGCTCAGATTCAACTTCCGCCAATGATTGCTCTTGTGCCAAATTTTCATCCTCATCCATAGGTTTTTCTTGTCTTTGGGAGGGATAGAGGAAAGATATTTCACCACCTCTAGCCAAGTCTTCTCACAGGTCACATTAATGACAGGCTCTGTTAAACTATCTAATGCCTCTTTGGGAAGTTACCTCCTGAAAACCCATTAAAAATCAATAGCCAAACCTTTATTAAGGATATGCCATTAGTAATGATGTAGGAGTCTCATGCACTAGGATCTTCAGACAGTGGAAACTTCGCGAGATTGTGAAGTTATACATTAGTTTATAATAAGCCTTCCTGAATAGCCAGATCAAACACTGACTGAAAGGCTCAAGAATCTGAGACATGTGGCTAGTTATAAAGACAATCTTACCATTAGGATGCACATTGGCAAATGTACATGAAACACCAAATAGACTGAAGAATTAGCAGGACTTTGAATTCAAGGTATTTTTCTTTTTTTTTAAGTAGTCTTGAACATCCACAAGAAAGTACTGTTCAAACCATCCCTTAAGGAGAGGAGGATTCATCCAGGCTTTTCTATTTGCTTGCCAGTACGCTGGAAACTTGGCTCATTTATTTCCCCTGAGAGGGTTTAGGCACAGTTTTCTGTAGAGCAGCAAGGGTTTCATTATGAGGTCACCTGAAGTATTGGCAAAAAATGGAAATGTCAGTCTCTCTGATTTTGCTGACCTCAGCATCAGTGGGCTCTTGCTCTTCAGAAGTATTCAAAGGGTTCCAAAGCTTGAGAGTCTCGATAGCACTAAAGATTTGTGCAGGCACGTAATCCCCTTCTTCAGCCACTTCCTGAATTTGTGGTGAATACAACATGAGAGCTACAGGAACGGTTTGTTCTTTGGCACAACCGCCAAATAAGACCTGGTCTCCACATTATGGTGCACCTTAAATTCCTCAAACCATCCCTTACTCCCAACAAAAATTTTTCTGGATTCATTTCAGTGTCTAAAAACATGTCTTTGAAAACTCATCTTGCATGGTCACAGATCTCTTGCATTGAATGTGTTTCATTATTCTTCGGTTTATCTTCAATCCAGAGGTTTAACTTCATTTCCATCTTTTCCATCCTTGGGTCATGAAGAACAAAGCATCTTTTAAGTTATGTAGGTGTACAAGTGGCAGTACTGGCCATACTAATAGTTTTAGCTTTCTTTATGGTAAGAATTATAGATTGATTAACAGTATATGTGACCTACAAAGCTATTTATTTTACCTTGAAGAAGCAGATTGAGAATGTCCTGTTTCTCTTCTAAAGACATCACCCTTCTTGCCCTCTGACAACTTTCCATGGTGTCAGTGCCCTTGTACTTGCTTCATATCAGCTTTATGCTAATTAATGCAACCTGAAAGTTACTTACTAGAGATTTCATATCCCCGCTTATCACAAAGTGTTAGCATATGATATTTAAGCATCAAATGGTATTCTAAACACCAGAAGGATAAATAATAATATATTGGTGTGCTACTCAGTGCACATGGGGCTATCTAGGGGACAACAGCTTGAAGAATGAGAATGGAAACAAATGACTTAGAAATGCCTTCCCACTTACAATATAGTCAGAGAGACAATATTGTGGCAATGTGGACTGATTCCCACATACTGAATTCAAAATTTTCAGTTACCAAAAAGGTATACAGAAGTAAACCTATACCCAAATTTCCAAAAAGAACAACTTACAGTTAGGGAGGGATTATTGTAAATTGTACTCTACATTATCAGAAAGAAAGTCACTGTTGATATATTCAAGACAGTACTGTTGCTATGATTACCCTTGGCTTAACACTATGAATTTAATTTTATGTGAAAGGAAAACACAGTGTAAATGTATTTTCTGCCAGCCCACAGTAAATCAATCAAACATTCTTCTCAGACAAAATGCAACCTCTGAAGATATAGATGTAAAGGTCAGGCAGGCCCTGAACAGTCAATCCTCAAGAAACAACTACCTAAGAAAGAAAGTGAAAATGAAAGAATAAACTAGCCCATTTTCAATGCCCGGCCACTGATACTTTACTTTTATCCCCTCCTCCTGGGAAGATAGAGCGAAGCCTGGCTTTCTTATTCTTCTCTTCAGGGGCCATGGGAAGTGGTTTGGAGCTGTGGTTGAGTGCTGAAGAATCCCGGTTGTTACTATTCATCCTCAGTGGGGGAGCTGGGGGTTTCTCTTCATTATCCAGACCGTCAGACATTTTCAGTTACAACCAATTTCACAGCTCCTAAAGAAAAGGAGGGAAAAAACAGGAGTTGAGGGAGAAGAGGTCTAAAAACAACCTAATAAATATGGGGATTCTAACATCTTAGAAACAAAAGCATTGTTCTCATGTTTTCTCAGGTTTCGTGTGAGGATCGTTTTTAGGGGTTTCTCTTCTGGAGGGAAGGAAGTTACCTCCCAAAAACCCTGATGCAATTTTCGAAAAAGGAAAGTGAAAGCAGTGATTAATGACTTTCTAAATATTATAAAAACACATAAGTCCCTTTGCTTTTCCCGCATTGAAACTCTATTTTCTCCTCCCCACTACCAGTGTTTTAGTGAACAATTTACAATCTTATTTTAAAATTCTATCCTGATGCTTGTAATGGTCAGGTGATCAGCCTCCTCAGAGTTTGGAATTGACACAGGTTTGGCTGTTGATTTTTAATGGCCCATAACAGTGACTTGTTAGCTGCTTTAACAGCGAGCTGTCCTTGGTGTTTATTTCTTACATGTGCGTACCTCAGTTACAAAATGCACTCTCCTGTTTTTAATGATAATTAACTGAGAAACCATCCCATAGATCTGGCAGTTTTAGCAGAGTTGGAGTGGCTGTTAGGGTAAACAATGTTCCATATTCTCCCAAACAGGCAGAAGATAAAGGTGGGCAAATGTCAGAGGGCCAGTTCCCGAGGAGACACCATAACCTTACTCCCTGCCACATTTTACGTCTTGGGAGAAGGGACAAGGGAGGTGACAGAGGTAGCTAGCTGTAAGATCCAGTCTGGGTTTTAGGAGCTTATTTGCTCTTAATTTCATTATTCTTTTTTTTTTTTTTTTTTTTTTTTTGAGACGGAGTCTCACTCTGTCGCCCAGGCTGGAGTACAGTGGCATGATCTCAGTTCACTGCAAGCTCTGCCTCCCGGGTTCACACCATTCTCCTGCCTCAGTCTCCTGAGTAGCTGGGACTACAGGCGCCCGCCACCATGCCCAGCTATTTTTTTTTTTTTTTGTATTTTTAGTAGAGACAGGGTTTCACCGTGTTAGCCAGGATGGTCTTGATCTCCTGACCTCATGAGCCACCTGCCTCAGCCTCCCAAAGTGCTGGGATTACAGGCGTGAGCCACTACGCCTGGCCAAGTTCATTGTTCTTTAGTATCTTGTGTCTACGTCTGAGTATATTCGGTTTTCATTCCCCCGGGAGGATAAAGTAAACTGGAAAAGCATGGACTCCCCCAAGGAAATGTTTCTGTCTCCAGGTATTTTCCTACTCTAATTAAAGTCCTTCCATAAGGTCCTGACCCCAGCATAAGTCAGATACTAACAGTACCTTCCAAATGAATCCCCAGTTTGAATTCAAGGAAAAACAAATCCCTTTAAAACTACATCTCTGTAAGTTTATCAAGTATTACCTGGTACTAACTTAGGAACATAATAACTCTCCAAATATGACTTAGCATATCACTTTGTTCCAACAACATTTACTATGAACAAACCTAAGAACAATAAAAACAAGACAGGGGTCTACTCATTAACTGTTGTGCTGAAAAATTATCTATCAATCCTTTCTGGCCCTTTAGTGGTTACAATGTGTTTATTACTCTCAGTAATGCACTCTAATTTACATCATGTTATGTAGAGAATTTCAAAATTTTTATTTTGCTCTAAATTCTCTCAAATATATATAGTCTGTAACTACTCAAGAATAGGTTACTATCAATTAATAGCTTCTCCATCTGTACAGGTGATTGACAACTAACAATTGGCTTGATCTTGCTTTGAACGGAAGATCTCTTTGGTTTTGCTAAGTGTCATGTCTTGCATTATCTTAATGAATTAAGACCAATTCTATATTTTTTCAGTAATAATGATAGTGAAAATACTAAGTAATAAATGGTTTGTCACTATCACCAACAATTTCATAAAACTCACATATTCCTATTTAGGTCAAACTACAGAACAAGGTACAATCAAAAAGTAATTGGGATGTCAAGGATAAAGCATATTCATAGATACTATTGGTACTAGAGTAAATATTTTAATTGGAATATGAGACCAGTGCTAATGTGTCTGCATTATCTTTTGCATTTTGACTGTTGGTCCTTCTAAATTCCTAGTTTCTCTAGAATTAAAGTGAATTTAAGACTGACTTCACCAGCGGCATTATTCTGTACTGGACAGGTTCATGGTTTTAATTTAGTCACAGAGAACATTTGCCACCAGAAACAAGGCACTAGTTTTCTCTAACTTTTCTGGGTTCAAAAACTATGCACAAACATGAAGTGATTATTACATAAATATGTATACAGATATACAAAACCTAGCTTGGTAAAAATAATGAAATTTGAAAGTTATTGCAGAGAAACTGAACATTTGAAAACAGAAATACCTAGAAGACAAATTTCTAAAAAGAGTGTCTCACAGGAAGAGAAAGCCACCATTTTCTGGATAATATATATTTTCTGATGACATATTTAACTTGAGATGACAGAAGTCAGGAAAACATGCCACATGACCTCTTTAAAATGATATACAAAGCTGATCTTGCAAGATAAGACAAGAATCTGAGCCAGCCAGGGTTTCCGCTCAACTACAGAATTTAAAATACTATGCTCCTTTGTTCTTGATAAATAGGGGTGGCTGACAACAGAGTGACATTTTTTGTTCCTAATTACTCCATCTGACCAGAGAGGCAGGTAGATGCCCTGCTTCTTTTCAGGCTGCCTGATTACCCTGACCTTATTTGACCACATATAATATAGGTTGGGAAGAAAGGAATACTTGGGATCTAAAACTCAAACTACTTCTATATTGCACTAAAAATCCCTGACCAAAAATTCAATAACACACATTTGCCATGGTCAGTATCACAGACATTCTGCAAAGGACTCAGCCTATGTGACATACATGCCTATTGCCCACGAAACTGAAAGTGTTTCAATGTCATTCAACTCATCAAGGCATCATAAGAAGAGTTGGAATACACCTTTTACAAAGACAGAAGCGAAACTGAAGAACCTATGTCCAGTTCCACACTAGGAAATTAATAAAGCATGAACCAAACCATTTTCCTAGACAGTTCAGATATGGTTTTGTTTTAATTATCTTGATATTACTTCGGTTCTTTACTACCCGTTACAAGGCACAACCAAACATCCTCTGCTAATGATTCCAGATAATTCTGATTTGGTGTTGAAAGAATAGTACAGGAGGTCCTTGGTATTTTAACTCACCTTCAAATCAAGTGCCTCTAAGCACACTTTTAGAAGACCAATGGAGAAAGGGTAGGGACCTGCAAGGAATCCTTGAGGTTAAAGTATTTGTTTCCCAAGTGGGAGGTATCTCCTACTATTCCACAAACATATTTAAAAAGTGATTTTATTATGTTATGTTTATAAACAATGCCAGTCTACTTAGCCATGTGTTCCCCTGAGACAGCTTTCTATAAAGGATACTATTAATGGATTGCTGGTTCAATCTGCCTATGATGTCATTATTTCCAAGATCTTGAAAGAGACTATTTTATTTTGGGCGGCTGTAGGCTCTATTTCAAGAATTGTACAAAAGCACCATTATTCTCTAGGAACCCAATCAAAAAACTGTTTATTTTTAAAGTTCAACTGTTGTTGTTCATTTCTATAACAGTACAGAAACTTGTGAGTAGCACATTAGATACAGCCACGGGCCATTCATTTTACTTTTAGAGGTTGGCCCTTAGCATTGTGGAGCTAATTTTAATGGATAACCAGCAACGGTTTATATCTGCTCACAGACTGATTTCATACTTGACTACTAGGTTTTTCAGAGATAATATAAACGGCTTTTGTAGATGGTGTATATTTTTGATTCAGCCCTTGGGACTTAATGTGGTTTAGCAATGCTCTGTAATTACACTTGCAATTCATCAGCAATAAGACATAAGCCTCTGTTTCACGATACGCAAGGAGTCTAAATACCCCTTTTCTTCAGAGTACTAAAAGAGATTACTTCTCTCTTTCCCTGTATCTTTCTCTCTCCCTTTCTCCCCACTCCCCACACAAGTTTGAAGGCATGTACACACAGGAGCACACATGAACACATACAGAGGGACCTTCATTAACTTGCCTTGACACAGAGCTTTATTGCAAAGCATTTTAGAGAAAAAAACTATTACCAAGATGCATGGTAACTATAGATTAAATGATTATAAATTAGAAACAATTGTCATTAGTCTCTCATTCCTCCAAAATGCATTCTCTTAACAAGTGAAGTGCCACAACTGGACACTCAGGGAATGCTGGGTAGGTTAAAAAAGAAAGCCACCACCAACTTGTGTAGATCCAGAAGTCAAGGGGAAAAATAGGTCATCAACTATACTCTAGCTAATGTGACCAAAATTCACACTATGACCTATGTGTTAGTTTGAATACAACCAAAAATGCCAATTGTGTCTCTTTGCTACAAGCACTCTACCCAAGTGTGTGAAGGATGAGAATCCAGAAATACTAGTTCTACAGTTTGAGGACCATCTATTAAGCCATGAGCAATTGAAATAAATATTTTTTATCAGATATCATGCCATCGGAGAAATAGAAACAACTATATGTCTGTATTATTTTGTCTGCTTTCAAAATACACATAACTATGTATTTTCATATTTTCCCAATGAAAACTAAATTAACACTGCCCTTCTTTTAAAAACAAAACCCCAGGTTAGCATATGTACAGTCATGATCTAACGAACCCAAAAGTAAATATCCAAAACCACCAGCCACGCAAGGCCATTATCACAAATCTGAGCACACGCCAAGTTTGTTTAACACCCTTTTCATAGCAAATGAGAGGATCAAACATAGGACTGAGCTGTTCATTAAGGGAAATTTCCAAGGTGAATTTCCTAGTATTTCTGATATATATATATATATGAGGGGTTACAAGAAACCTTGACTTGATGAGATGACAACCCTATAATAATGAACTGACATGAGTACATCTAAAAGAGGATGGATTTTAGGATTTCAAAAGTCAAGAACCTTTGAACTGGTC